GAGGTATTAATTTTGGCAGACATTTTTAATTTAGTCTTAGTCTTACTCAAATGTACATTTTAGTTATCATATTTGGTCAAACTTGTCCTGTTTTTGTTTCGTCAAGTTTAAGTCAATGAAATGTATGAGCATTTTAGCAAGGTTTTAGTCAAATCTGAGTCACATTTTCCTCATGCTGTATAATGGTTAAACTGATAAAAAATATTTTTGCTCAAATTTATAATCGTAATGATTGTTGTCATTTGAGAAATTTACTTTTGCATTTCAGATATTGCACTTTTGCCAGTAAGCACAAATCAATAGAATGTGGACTCATGGTGTGTTTTACCTCATCTAGTGTACTGATATATTGTAGGCTTTTTATTATATAATTTAATACCAAAGACTTATGCAATCTCTCCGTCTACATTATGAAAACTGCTAAAACAAATGAAAAATATTATAACAGTGAAATTCCAAGTAATTCCACTATAATTCCAAATGGCAATAGCCTATTTATCTATAGGCTAACAGCGGTTGAGTAAGTGCATTCATACAGCAACCACAGTCGCAAACAATATAGTCGAGATCTCATGACAGAACACAGACCGGCTGAGTCATGCTTTCATTTAGATCGCTAAACTCCAGCTTGTTTGTCAGTGTTTTCAAGTCATCAGCGGCGGCGCTTCTGCAATGAGGAGCGAGCGCGTGCGCATGGTCGCCAGATTGCTTAAAATAAGCAAAACACCGGGCAGAAAATGTATCCTTATAACAGCGAAGCTCTGATTCGGGGATTTGAACTTTTGATATCTGGCAACCGCACTCATGAGAGCTCGCATAGTAGCTTGTAGAGCAGTCGGCAATAACATTTTGTTTCCACATACTGTACATTATTGTTGCTCCTCTCTGCCCGCCTTTCTGAAACGTGTCGATTTTTACAAAGCTCATCGTTCTGAAAAGCTCTGCTCTGATTGGCCAGCTATCCAGTGCGTTGTGATTGGCTGAACACCTCAAGCGTGTGACAGAAATGTTACGCCCCTTACCATATTTGGAAACACAGTGTCTCCACGACATGGCGGCAACGGCAACAATACTACAGCGAGAATAAAAGTTACGCCTTCTTTCTTTGCGTGAACATTTGGGCGGCGTTATGCAAAGCTTCCCACACAGTGACGTAGACATGTGGGGGTGTGTTTAATGAAGCGTTTTAGGAAGCCGTGGACGAGTCTTAACTTTTATAAAGAATATCTCTTTGGGTTTGAGACTTTAGTCTTTGCAACTTTACAGATCTTATATACGGTATGCATGAACAGCTTGTAACACTCCAAAGACGAAGGAAAACTTGAAATCACATCACATGACAGCCAATAATAGAAATCAGTACTGGCTAATATTGAACAGTTTTACAATTGCATTAAAATACTAATAATTTCATAACTCTATTACATGTAATCTTTAGCAAATCTCAAAATTTAATATCCATTTGTCACTAAACAAGTTCTAAAGCTTAAATTCTCTTAATAATAATAATTTAGACTAAATAGTACAGATTTTTACTTTCTGCCATTTATCAGTTACTGATCCATATAAAACATTCAAATTGATTTATAGGTATTGGACACATTTTTAACATTATGCTTTCCTAGTTTTCTCAATGTTTCAACCAGAAACAGGAAAGAAAACAGAACTTTCATGCATTGATATATAAATTATATAGTGTTGGATTTACTAACAATTTCAGTCCCCCAGCAGAAGAATCTGTCTCAGGTGGGCTCTGTGTTTGAGATAAGCGGTTTTGCCCATCTCTATTATTCAAAGCCTGCCGCTGCCGGTGGCTCTTCTTCCATAATCACAGAGCATTTTCTCTGCCAGTAACACAGTTACTCGAGTTGAGACTGCTGGGCCATTCAGAGAGACACCAGGAGGCGTGCTTGTGACCATCGGATGACCTTATATTCGTTTGGCAGTAACTTCAGTATTTGCTGAACATGGCAAAGGCCAGTTCATTACTGCAGTCTACCAGACGGACAGATGCGCTTAATCAGTTTGACGCTAGACGATTACCACTGGAACTATTGCCGAGTCAAAGACTGGAATTCTGCCACCGAAAAACATGATTACTCATGACACAGTGCAGCAAAAACTCTGTGAAGATGAACAACGCACAAAAGACACACACAAGAATCAAAGACATGCATAACACAAGCATGACTGAAATATGAAGCTGTTTACTTTTAAAGGTGACATATCAAGAAACTTTTCTTGATATTGACTGACTTTTCCAGGTTTTAAGTGCTATAATCAGGTCCCTGGTGCATCTACCAACCAGTGTCACCTTTAAGGGACAGTTCACCCAAAAATGAAAATTCTGTCTTTATTTACTCACATTCATGCTGTTCCAAACCTGTATGAATTTCTTTAATCTGCTGAACATAAAAGCAGATATTTTGAAGAATGTTGGTAAACAAACAGTTGCCAGTTCCCATTGACTTTCATAGTATTTTTCCCCCATACAATTCAATAGGGACCATCAACTGTTTGGTTACTAAGATTCTTCAAAATATCTTGTTTTACGTTTCACAGAAGTAAGAACCACATACAAGTTTGGAACAACTTGAGGGTATAGATGACAGAATTTTCATTTTTTGGGTGAACTATCCCATCAAATGAATGGAAATATGTAGTGTGAACACTCTCTAAACATCTCCATTTGTGTTCCACAGAAAAAAACTAAAAGTCATGCTGGTTTGAAATGACATAAGAGTGAATAAATGGTGACAGTTGTTTTTGGGTGAACTTTCCCTTTAAATCTATAAAAGAATGCAAAGTTGGACTGCAACCGAATTCATATGGCCATTTTCTGAAATAATATATTTCCTCCTAACTCTGCAGTATCTCAATACACATCATTTTTCATTCATAAAGAAAATGTGCTATTCACTCCATTCATTGAATGTGAAAAATGTACTAACTTCACTTTAATGAACATGCCATTTCTCCATCATGAAGCAACTCTCGCACAGTATTTAGATGCAGAGTGTTTCCATGGCATCAAATCCTGCAACAGCAACCTTCTCCTGACAATTTTAAATTTTAAAAAGAATGGGAGGGTGGAGCTACTCAAGGTATACTAATTACTGCAAAAAATTAACAGCGGACAATGTGAACTTGGTACACTGTGGTCTGACAAACTTTTTTTTTGCTCCCAAGTGAAACTAATGGCCAATAAGGGAAAAGTAAGTGCTCTCTTTCTGAGCTGAAACTCTTTGCTTAAAGTGGTTAAAGAAGAGGGAATTACATTTATGAGGTGCTGCTGAAGAGCTGATGTAATTATGGCAAAGACAAGACTAAATTATTTTGAGTGGGAGGATGTTATACACAAATGCTGTCACCCCTTTACACAATATATGCATTACAGAGAAAAGAGCTATGCTAATAGTGAAAAGAGTTGCTGTCGTTTAGCGTTTCATTTCCATCCAAATGTACATACATATTACACATTTGCACATCAGGATGTGCTGATAAACAGATTTAAATGATTTACATTTCATCTTTATGCACATTAGTCATCATTTTAAATCAAGGCCAATGACGACGCAAAAAACAGCTAGAGATGAAGGATGGAAGGGGGGAAAGATTTATAATGGCAGCTATAGGGCTGTCTGTTCATTCTGTATAACTGTTACGTGTTCATTTCATGTGATTAATTAAAAAAAATCTAATTAGGGATGTCACAATATACTAGTATTGATGATAACAGTGATTTTTAAAAATGTTTGTTCAAACAAAGTTTTAGATCACATGTTCGATTAATACTGGTGTGCCTCAAGGCTCAGTTTTAGGCCCTCTTCTGTTTATTACTCATCCTTTAACTTTAGATCACATTTTTCATAAATTTGGCATAAATTTCCATTGTTATACTGACGACACCCAACTCTAAAGTATCTGCCTTCAAAGCATAACTCACAAACGCACCGCAAAGGTAACTATGTTGCGATAATGATGCCTCAAACCTGGCAAACTCTGCCAAAAATCCAAGTTCTTCCTCAAAAGATGTTATTTTAACCTGTACAATCTGACTTCAGATGTCGAGAAAATTACAGCTTCAAAGTAAAACATGAGTTTGTCATCAAGAATAAAATATGTGCAAAAACCTTTACCATCCTCTGATTTCACCAACTTGAGAAAATGACAAAAAAGTGTGAAAATGATAAAAAGGAAGAACATGAGAAGAATAACAGGTGCGAAAACCAGGTTGTTCTGAGAAGCTGTAATCACTAGATGCAGGTCTTTCTAGAGCCAAATAGACAATTTGAGACACTCAAATAACTTATTTTTCTCCTCCACTCATCTCATTGTTCACCACTTTGAACTCCTAACAATTACGGTACTGCATTCATTCAGTTGGCACAGGCAGTGGATACAGCGCTGTGGGCTCTGAGTCACTGCTAATGACTGCTGGGAAGCAGAGAAACTAGATAAAGTGGGACGGGTCTAATTTTCCGGTGGAAAATGGGTGCAGTATGAGCCATATGATAAAAGACTAGCGTGCCTTCCTGTCCGTTTAGCTGCTCCAGCCAGCCCAGAAAGCAGCTCCTCACACACGCTGATCTGACAACATCCTGCCGACTACGCCAGTGTCGGACAGAAGTCTGGGCAGTGGGTGGGGCATTTGTGCTTGGACAGGAAGATGTAAGAGGACGTGACCCCACCTTCTGCTAGATCTCTAATTCCAGACATTGCCATGGCAACCGGTAATGTTATTTGCCGAAGACACTGGCAGTTTCGGGAGTACAAGGACCTGCTGGAAATCGGGCACAGCAGCGTGTCACTAATCAACACTTACGCCACTGAAGCAAGAGGTTTAAAGCTCAATCACCGAGCACAATTTTATCGGTAAAGCACTTCATGAGCATTAGAGGTTACATGAATGCCATAATGAAATTTATGCAATTTTCAAGTTTCGACAATTCATGAAAAAAAATTATAATTTTCCTTTACTGGCACTGGGGGTTTAATACCTTGGCGCATTCCCCGCTACACAGACTTCTTCTCTGGTCGATGTTTGGGCTGCTTCCTCAACAACAGCGGCCAGTGGCGGAACGTGATCTGATGCTGGGGCCTTCTGCTTGCTCGTGTGGGGCTGTTCTTCCTCGTCCTCCTCCTCTACCTCCATCCTCTCCTCTTTCCCTTTTCCCTCGCTTTCATTGTCACTCTCTTCCCCGAGGATGTCATCCACCTGCCCAAAAGAGTTAAACGTACAATTAAAGGATCTGTCATGGTTTGTTTGTACATGTCAAATTGTTGTATATTTATTGTTCATTTTATGTCCCCTCACCCCCCGAGTTCCAATGACGGCCAAAAAGTCATAATTTAGTTCAACATTTTCCACACTCACTTCAACTCTGAAATAAATAGGCTGTTTTTATTGCTGCCAAGCCTTTAAGGCTTCTATGTTAAAAAGACCCCTCCCAATAAAATTTTGAGAGGAACAACCCGTGCTGAAATATGAAGGACGGGGAGAATTTTCTTCTCTCTGTACTTTAAATATGAAAGACACTCTTTCATATTTGTTTCCTGAGTGGTTCAGTCAGAGTGATTCAAAACTTAGTGACTTTTTTTTTTTTACATGGAATTTGAACAAACCAAAAAATTTATTCAATGAGCCCAAGGAGTCATAAAAAAAAGCCACCTTGCTGTTTGCAGACAAAATTGACTGGCCACAGGAAATGAATCAGAAAAACAGCATTTTCTTAAATATTTGTTGAATAAAATGCATATAAGTCAGAATGCTGAACAAAACACATACTACAAAACATCCAAAATGCAAAAGATTTACACCCATTCACTCAGAGAGTGTGAAATGAATGGGAGTCTATGGCTGCATAAATTACTGCAAAAATGACACTTTAACATTATTTTTTAAAAATACTAAGCTTTGGTAAATAATAGTTTGACATTGTCATAATAAATATTCAAATACTGATTAATTTTTTTTTTTTAACTAGATAGCAGAAATCTTGTCCAAATACAAGACTTTGTAGAATTTTACTCCACTGCTTATTTTCCTATACAAATGTCGGTCAAATTGAGAAATTAAAACCTAAATAAGATCTAAATAACACTAAATAATAGGGTTATTTCATTAAACAAAAAAAATTACACTTTCATTGTTCTGGGTCAAAAAATAAGTCAAGGCATGACCATTTTGGAACAGTCTAGGAGAGTTAGTCTCAAACATCTACTCTTAGTTTGTGAAAACCCAAAACCATTTTTTAAATGCAAATGTGTGATATCATGAGATAATGCATACATCTTACTAAAATTAGAAAGTTGCAGAAGTTTGGTGCAAGTTATTTCAACAACTTAACTTTTTCGAATTGGGGTTTTCAGCTATGAGTTACGATATGTGTTCATAGTGTACTGAACACTTCCTAAAAATTCAATTTGTCACGATATGACCCCTTTAACGTGTATGAATGTTAGCACTCAAGCGTTTAGCCTCGGTCTGGGCTTTCACTGATACATGTTACTGCTTTCATAAAGGCAGACCGGGGGCTCAGATCACCCCAATTATTCTTAGCAAGAGCCGTTAGACAGGCACTGGCAAAAATGATCAACAACTTCACATACGACTGATCTCTCTACTGGCCCAGTGTAATTGCTCTCTCCTCCTCTTGGAAATACCAATCACACACACCATTTTTCCCCTTCTGCTTATTATTACAGTGAATGGAGCCTCTGAAACAGCCTGCAGAAAATATGCCAAAGCCATGGACACAGGTTATAAATGAGCTCAAGGAAGGGTGCTTAAAAAATAGCCCCACAGAACTTTTTCCAGTTTAATCTGACAGATAAGCGTAATGAGGGGGAAACATTTAATTAAAAGTAGACTGTTTGTGAGGAGTGTTATCTAGAAGCATCTTAGTAGATGGAACAATCCCCAGGCACCCATGGGATGCAATTATGAACGGCACCATAGCGAATCTAAGAAGTGAATTAAAGTCATATTTTAAGGCAAGTTCTAACGCTGAAGGAGCCATTAACTCCGCCTTTAGCATCAGACGAAAGGTCAAGAGCAACATTATTGCACTGTTCACTAATACTTCACTAATAAATGCTGATTACTTGTAACATAAAAAATTACAGATATAGTTAATTAATAATTAGGTCAAACTAGAGAACTGTATGTCCAATGTCTGGTATAAATAGGAATAAATCTGTTTTAAGTCAACATGAAATAGTAATTGCCACCAATTTTTATTTGTGTGATGCAAGCTATTCAATGGGGAAACAATGTAGGATGGAATATGATTATATCAATTGAATCATTCGAAGCAATCTTCAGATAAACTGATATTATTTAATATCCTAGCAGTCAAACACATTCAAAAGAAAATATTTAAATCTCACTGAATCTTTCAAAGGTCAAATGACATTTTTAAACACTGACCCTATTGTGTTTGAATGGCTCCTTGGTATGGGAGTGTCAATATATTGGAATAAAAATGTGATTAATGGTGATATTTAAAAAAATGAAATGCTGATATCATGTTAATGCTACACATATGATAATATGATATAGGGTTGTGCCGATAGACGATAGTATCGTGTATCGACGATAGTCAGAGATATCGACGATAGCAGATGTCTTTGTCGATAGTCAAGACGATATTAGGCTCATTCTCCTATTAATGTATTAAATTATAATAATAATAATAATTATTATTATGATTAGGCGGCCCTTTTATAATTCGGCTATCAAATTGCCCCGCTATTTCACTTCAGCACCGCAAATGGAAAGCTTATTTATTCAGCTTTCAGATTATGTATAAATCTCAGTTTCGAAAAATTGACACTTAAGATTGGTTTTGTGGTCCAGGGTCACATATGACAATTTGAAAAATGACCATATCGCCCAACACTAATATGATACGCTCCAACACCGTAGGTGGCGGTGTTTCCCCTTAATGCTGGTTGCTACACATTATAAACAAAAAAAATTATAATCAATAAAAACAATAGCAACGATGCAGTGTATAGTTACTACTGCTGCACATTATGTGGTAAAAAGCGCATACTGTGACAGCCCTACTTCTTGCTAGTAAACAAGTCAATCACAGTCCCCATCCACTGAAAACAATAGCATTCAAGCAAATCAAAATCCAGTGACCAAATGGGACAATATAATAGATCAGCACCTCTAAAGTGACCTAGTGCTGCTGTAATGCACAGACATAATTAGATGAGCGAGGAAATTGATAAGGGCAAACAGATGGAGCAAAGAGAGAGACAATTCCCCAAAAGCCCTGTCACACAGATGCACAATCATCAGCTTTACCGGCTGCACAACGGCATGAAATGTGGTATAAATGCACTGTAATGCCTCTAAATAGCAGTAAGGCAATTGGTTTCTCATTACTGAGGTCCAATGTGACTGTGAAGCTGTGCAAACACATATGGACTCAAACATACAACCTGAATTGGTCATTAAAAAAAGCACACATTACATGGAAGATTTGGATTTATTGCATGGGGCACAGCCAACCCAAATGAACCCTGGAAAGCAAACACTGGCTCCAGGGCTGACAGCTCACCATTACCAGCGCATACTTAGTAGAGGCACCCACATATTTGGGAGTGTTTTATTAAAACGTTTCATCACTGTATAGTAACACAAAGATGCATGACTCAATAAGGTCATAGCCTTTGATAAAAACTCATTATACAAATATGAACAAATAATCTTACAATGCACATACTTCCACTTTCGCTCATGACTTTGCAAACTCCGGCAAGACATGACCACATTAACAGAAGTAAAATCATTGAGAAAACAGAGCAAAGTTGAGTACATGTTTTCAGTGTCAGAGTGGTAGTAGCTTCAACCTTTGGTTTGTCAGACATTTTTTCAGTCAAAATGATTGTGAATTTCAACAAAATCATTATGTGTCCTTGCTAGGAATCCTTATATGTGGGCAAAGCCTTTTATTTTGTATGGGCCATGAAACAAAAACTGGCAGCGTCATTCCCAAGTTAATAAAAGCAGAGACTCAGCAAGCCCCCAATTCACTGACAGGCAGAGAGATATTGGGAAAGTGATGGCGACTCATTGCTCGCCAAGGGAGGATTTTTAATACTTCAAAATTTACTTTCAGACACTGGATTTTTGACAAGAGTGCAATCGAATACAGATCTGTCAAGTTAAAAGCAGCACTTATATTACATGTCTTCCCTACTTTGAATTTGGTCTTTGATAAAATTTCTCAAAGTGAAGGAACAGCAGTTGCCCTGATGATCTTGGTATAGAAAAGCAGACTAAAAATATATACTCACATTAAAGCCACCAGTGAATTTCCAGTGGAAACATTCTTAATTATTAAAATTCTACACATTGAGACACTATAAGGTGATAGACTTGGACTACATTTGGACTACAATACAAACTACATTTTTAATGATACTAAGTGCCAGTTCATAGGGTAAAATAGATAAACTTCACTGTGTTGCACAAGGCTTAGCCTTAAGTAAAAAAAGAGAAAGTTGCCAGAAGAAATGCCACATTTTCTATCAAAAATTACTTTAAAATTACATTTACAAATCACTTTATAATTACAGTGGATGTCGGCATCTTTTACACTAATGTGAAGTCCAGGGAACAGAAGGTTCTCAGGCACACTGTGGGTTTGTCTCTCTCATTCTCAGCTCAGTGAGGAGTCAAGCACTGATATATTAAAAAAAGTAATTCAATTACATGTCTCATCACTCTTGCTGGGTAAGTTTAAGGCGGCTGCTTTAGAAGACCACCATCAGCACTACAGCTCCATGCAGACACATGGCTGGAGAAAAGTCGATAAAGTTGAATATTGCTGCTGTGCTTTCAACTGACGTCATACTCAAAGGCCCTGCTCGGATATGGCCATGGCGAAGCACTGCCATAAAAATGAAGTAAAGGTATAAAATAGCCTAGTAATTAATGCATTTGCAACATGTTGAGCTGTCGGGCTGTAACCCAACAGTTGGTGTCTGAGCGTGAAGTAGTGGGGATGAGGGTCAGCACCTCTAAACCTGAGGCCACGAATCTCAGCTGTAAAAGGAGAACTTTGGATAGGGGGCGAGTTGCTTCCCCAAGTGAGTGAGTGAGTGAGTGAGTGAGTGAATGAATGAATGAGGCATTTATATAGTGCTTTATCGTGTATTGCTGTACACCCAAAACGCTTTACAATCATATGAGGGAGA